AAAAAAAATTTGGAAACGTCTTTAAAATCTGGTGAAACTCATCTTTGTCAATTCTGTTTTGATAACAGAGCTGAAATTAATTTTTGTTGTTTGGCTAAACATTGATAATTTAACTATAAAGGAAAAATTAGTAATATGCTGTCTATAGTGATATACATCATTAATTTAGGATTCAGAGATAGGAAAGAAGACAGCCAGCTAAGAAGTTCAAGTCCTCACATTTCATTTTAAGCTTCTAAGTAGTCCTGCCTACCTACCATCAGCTTGGAATGACATCTGCAACTTTACATGCATTCACGATGGCTCTTGTTTTCTCTTTTCGTGACAGTTGGTCAAGGTTACTTTTTCGCATGATTAATTTGGGATTAGTCTGAATTTAAAGTCACTTGGTTTTAGGTACTGGTTAAGATCCAACTTCCTATTGAATCATCATGTTACTAGCATTTAAATTTCAGATAATATATTGAAATATTGTTGAAATGACAGTATCTGAGATTAGTGTTAAGATCCTACAAGCCCCCACTAAAATCACAGAGACAAATAAATTATTGTGACAAGACCTTATTCATCCTTGAAAAACCTTCAGCTGCAGTAAAATTATCTCAAATTTGTATCAAATCACATGATTTTGTGTGACATTTAAAATGCAAATAGCAGAGCTGTGGAATGTTTATAAAAGTAAATTATTTGTGCAAAGGACTTGACCTACTAAAGTATGATCTTCATATATAATAACTCAATATTACATGTATAAGTAATATGACAAAATAATTTTTGTGCTGTTAAGTATTCAAGTAAAAAATTCTTGTAGTAAATAGGTATAATTCATATTTATCGATTATTTTTGTTTATTTTAACACGAATAAAATGATATTCTTTCAACTTTTAGACCTGCAGACTGAAGTTGGAAGAAATGTATGGTCAGTGGGCTAATGCAGCCTTTGGGAAAACTAGAAATACTAGAAATATAGAAGACTAGATAGTTCTAGAGACAGTTCATAATAAGAATTTGTTGCTCTTTGTGACTGATTTGATGTGAGAGTAGAAAAAAAGAGGAGGGTTTTATGTCTGTTTTTAAAGTACTTTAGTTATATGGTTGAAGAC